AGAAGCTGTGGCTGCCCCATCCCTGGCAGTGTTCAAGGCCAGGTTGGACACAGGGGCTTGGAGCAACCTGCTCTAGTGGAAGGTGTCCCTGCCCGTGGCAGGGGGTTGGAACTGGAGGAGCTTTCAGGTCCCTTCCAACCCAAACCTATCTGGGATTCTGAGATCCTGATTCTATGCTATTCTCCACAAAGAAAGATATCTGACAACACCCAATGCATTATATAGCGGGATTCATCCTTTCCAGCTGCATCAAATCCATCTTTTCATGCAGGTTTCCATCCAGTGAAGACACAGCCCATGCAATTTCCAGGGAGGCATTTTCCTTTCAGCCACAGGACTTGGATAAAACCCTTTTACCTGATTTTTTGGAGCATCTCAAGATTCCTGCCTACACACCACTGGTCACCCTTGCCATCCCTGCTGGCACTGCTAACCCAAGGCTTTCCTGGAGGGTCCTGTTTTCAGGATCACTGTTTTCCATGAGTGCTAAACCAACTTTGGATGCTGGAAGCTTAAAACTAGATGGTGTCCCTGCAGGCATGCTCCTTACCGTGGCGCAAGGTAGAGGATGCAGTGCTCTCCCCTCTGCATCTTCTCCAGGGCTTTGTCGATGCCAATGGGGATGTCGTGGTCCTCGCCTTCTCCCACAATGAACTTCACATCTTTGCAGTCGAACCTGGTGCCACCACAGAATCCCTCCAGATGAACTACGAGGGGAAGAGGGGACAGGGCAGGATTGCACCTGGAGTCACCCAAACCAAGGCAAGGTGGGTTCCAGACAAAACACCTTGTATAGTAGGATATAAAGCAGATCTCCTGAAACCAGGCAAAGCCTCGAGCTCTGGAAGCGGGGAAGACACAGGGTTGGGGGTAACCAAAGAGCCCCCAGTGAGCAGAAAGGGATGGGGAGGGCTTGGAAACATTGCTGAAGAGCAAGGCAGGCCTATCTCGTCTACCCAAGGACCAGACAACAGATAAACATCATGACTAATATGTTCCCCTCGTACTCAACTGCACGAGTCAAGTCTTACTGGAACTGGATATTGCTCCTGGCACGCAGCCACACAGTTTATCATGGCGATTACAGATCTCCTATACAGTGCTATACAGCCTTGCCTTCCACCTCGAGAACAAGGCTGTGTTCTCCTGCCTCCAAGAACTCAAAGTACAAGATAAACTTTCCTTTTCTCTTTTTTTTTTTCCACTTTTAATCTTCAACCAATAACAGCCCCAGATGCTGGCAGAAGCGCAGCCGGAGCGGACACCGGGTACCTGGCACATTCACCACCTGGTATTGCTGGCTGGCTTTCCACAGCAAGATTGTTCTTTATTTATTCCATCCTGAAGACGTTCCAAGCTTTGGGGACAGTTTATGTTCTCTGCACTCTGCTTGCAGGGTACAAGGCACAAAGCATGCAGGCAAATGTAAAGTAAAAGCAGTTTCATAAGGAGCTCTGATGTACCGTTAAGAAAAAAAAGCCAAAACAAACAAAAAAGCTTGTTAGGGGGGAAATTCACAGTGGGCATTCACGTGGTTAAAACCATGCTTAAAGGCTCTGCAGCATGGAAGGACATGAGCTTTACCTTTGCTTGCCAACAGAGCAGAGGGAGCAGGATGTGACCCGAGGATGTGCAGTGAACCCCTCACCCTGGTGTCAGGGTGGCAGGACGCAAGCACAAGGACAAGCCAAAGCAGACTCTGTGCCAGACACAGCCAAGAGGGGCCAGGCTGTATACGGGAGAGCCACAGCCTGGGATGAAGGAAACCCACCCATCTCTGCCCCACAGACACTTCCCTGCCCCAGGACCTATGGAAAGCCACCAGAATGAGACTCACGGACTAAAAGAGTCCACAGCAGAGCCCCATCCCTAGGGCAGGTCCAGCTACACCCCCATACCACCACCCAAGGATGCTCTCCCCACCACAGGGACAGGACACTAAGCTTTGCCTTGTCACCCTACTCCTGCCACCAAAGCCACACTGGGACCCGAGTGCAGCAGAGCACAGGATGTTCACAAGCTCAGCAGCACTGTGGAACACATCCTGCACCCATCACTGGCATGCAGTGTGTGCTCAGCCGGCGGCTTGGGATGAGGACAAAAGGCAAATTCAGCTCCTCCAGGGCTGACCTCTGCTTTTGCACTACCCAAAACCAAGCAGGCTGTTCTCTTAGGCATAAGAAAGTGGCAAATTCAGACTAAAATACAGGTAACCCACAGCACCATTTATCTTCCCAGTGAGTATGGATCCCCAGCCACCAAAGCAGAAGCACTACAGCTCTCCCCTTTTCCCTATTCCCAGCAGGATGTGGCAGTGACGGGAAGGTCCCTCTTTAAAACAGGATGCACAGGAGGATGCTGCAATCCTTCCCTTCAAGGATAGTTTTGCTCTATTTTAATCGCACACCGGGTGAAGGAGCGGGGGGAGATCTCCACTTGGGTTTCCAGGAGCAGGTCAGCTGGTTGCAGTTGCTCTTGGATTACGGGGAGGGGGGGAAGCCTCCGAAGGAACATCACTCCGGTTGCAGCTCTGACTTATTGTTCTCTCGGTGCCTGCAGCGATTTTGTTTTTGAAGAGCTGAGAACAGAGTGTACCGAGTGCGGCTGGCACACGAACTTGATGTGCTGACAGCAATTTGTACTCAGATTAAAAACGGAGGAGGAGGGATGGGGGGGGGAAAGGTTGTAACAAAAGCTGGAATGCCAGATTTCAACTGCAGCGCAGGTTTTAAGGACCAGAACTGTGAATTTAGGATCTGTAGAACTTAAAACCTAAATAAAACCTTTGCAAACTCCAGCCTAGAGATGCTTGTTCCTGGAAATGTAGTTTCTTCCAGCCTAATTGCAGCTGGGATGCACCTCCCAAATACATGGCTCACAGAAACCATCGCTGCTCCTGTGGGTCACGGCTGTGCCCCAGTGCGGGCAGTGTGCTGTCCCCATGGCTGCTGTGCCATCCGGGCTCAGTGCCCACCATGAACACTGCTGCATTTGTTGGGTTTGGGTTTAATTTTAAAAAAGCGTATTTCATACAACCCTAGAATCAAGCAGGTTGGAAAAGAGCTTCAAGACCATTATGTCCAACCGTTCCCCAGCACTGCCAAGGCCACCACTAACCCCTGGCACTGAGGCCTCGGCTACCCGGGCTGTGAACACTTGCAGGGACAGTGACTCCAGCCCTGCCCTGGGCAGCCTGTTCCAATGCCTGAGCACCCTCTGGGCAAGGAATTGTTCCTCAGCTCCAGCTAAACCTGCCCTGGTGCAGCTTGAGGCCATTTCCTCTTGTCCCATCCCTTGTTCCTTGGGAGCAGAGCCCAGCCCCCTCCTGGCTCCATCCTCCTGTCAGGCAGTTGCAGAGAGCGATCAGGTCCCCCCTGAGCCTTCTCTTCTCCACACTAAACCCCCAGGTCCCTCAGCCCTTCCCCATCACACTTGTGCTCCAGGCCCTGCTCCAGCTCCGGTGCCCTTCTCTGGCCCTGCTCCAGCACCTCAGTGTCTCTCTTGTAGTGAGGGGCCCAGAACTGACACAGGATTCGAGGTGTAAATTTGCGCCCAAACTACTCACTGCAGGGCAGCCTCGTGTGGCTTCTCCTTGTCCTCTCTCACAGTGATGTATTTAAGGGCCTCCAGCCCCTGGATGGAGAGCGATGCATAGGACTAAATGAATTAAGGGCCATGAAAGCTGTGAATGGAGACAGTGGGATGATGTTGGCAGGATCAGCGCAGCATTCCTTATCTCTGCCCTCTCCACAAGCAGGAGGACATCCATCACCACAATCCTGACCACATGCATGCTCCTGCTTGCAGTGTTTGCTCTGATGGATGCATTCATTTGCAATAGGTAAAGAAGGCATAATAGGCTGGGCGGTATCATGCGTATGAGGAGCCTCATTTTTGGCTCCTTATGTCCCTTCTGAGAGATGATTTCTGGCTGGTGCCCCCCCTCCCTGCTTCAGTCCCTTCCTGAGCCATTAAAGCATCATCATGTTCCAGAAAACCTCGAGCTGCAAAGGGAACAAGCACAGAGGGACCAGGGCTCTCCCCACTCTCCCCACTCGGCACAGTGCTGCCTGTGAAGTGCTCAGACATCAACAAAATAAAGAGGAACGCTGGATCCGTGATGATTACCATTATAGTGAGTCTTTTAGTTTAATCTTTGGGGGAGGGGAGCCGGCTTGACGCTCAGCTCGCAGCTAGTCCCCAGCTAGAATGCTCACTGCGGGAGAGGCAAACAGTGGAACATGAGTCAAAACCTCATTTTTTCCTTAAGAGAAAGCCTAGTTAGAAGAACCAGTCACCTAAGGCCGGGAGCTTTATGAGCTGACACAGCTCAGATCCAATTTCTTCTTTGCTAAAATCTTTGTGTACGGGAGCTCTGAAAGAGGTAAAGGAAATGCTCCCGCAGGGAGCGAGCTCTGAGTCTGTGGCTGAGTGGTTCTTGGGAAGGAAAAAAAATAGGATCCACTAGGTTGGAAATGACCTTTAAGATCATCTATCTACTCCCCGATAAATGAGCCTGGCTTCCTCCGTCCAGACCTGAGCAATGTCTGCTCCAGAAACAGGATCAGAACAGGGAGAGCCCAACGGGACCAAGCTCTTCATTCACCTGTATCAGCTGAGACCACCCTGGCCCCAGAAAACCCTGTGTATTAATTTTACAGTATCATAGAATGGTTTGGGTTGCAAATGACCTTAAGCTCATCCAGTTCCAACCCCACTGCCATGGGCAGGGACACCTCACTCTATACGATGTCACCCAAGGCTCTGCCCAACCTGGCCTTAAACACTGCCAGGGATGGGGCATTTACCACTTCTCTGGGCAACCTGCGCCAGCGCCTCAGCACCCTCACAGTGAAGAAATTCTTTCTTATATCCAACCTGAACTTCTCCTGTTTAAGCTTAAACCCATTATTCCTTGTCCTATTACCACAGTCCCTGACGAAGAGCCCTTCCCTGCCCTTTTCAGCAGCCCTCTGGCCGCGGGGGAAGAAAAGGCTCCATTCTGCAAAAGATTCAATAAAACCCACCAAAACTACCATCAAGGTTGAAACAAGCTCTTCCCTGTGAGGGTGCTGAGGCGCTGGCACAGGGTGCCCAGAGAAGCTGTGGCTGCCCCATCCCTGGCAGTGTTCAAGGCCAGGTTGGACACAGGGGCTTGGAGCAACCTGCTCTAGTGGAAGGTGTCCCTGCCCATGGCAGGGGGCTGGAATTGGATGACCTTTAAGGTCCTTTCCAACCCAAATGAGAATGTGATTCTAACAACGAGGCCCAGAGAAGCTGCTGAGCACCAGTGTCAGTGCCCAAAAAGGATGCCATTAAGGGGGGATTTCCTGGCTACTGATGCTTTCCAAGGCAAGGCACAGCTGGGGGTTTTGGCAGCCAGAGCATCCCAGAGTGGCTTAGACACTACAATGGATGCAAAAGGGTCAGGGGAGATGCCAGAGCCCTGAAACCCCATGTGAGAGTTTGCTTCCTTCATCCTCGCCCTGGCTGAGCAGCTCCAGGGCTTGCAGCAATGTTTGCCAGCGCAACTGAGAGAACAGAGCACTGCAGTGGTCCCTCCAGCATCTCTGGCTGCTCACATGGCCAATGCACCCTTCCAGCCAGCAGCTCTGGCAGAGCCAAGGAGAGCTCAAGGAGCATCCCCAGAAAGGCAGTGAACCACTGCTCTCCAGCCCCTACCATCTCATCCAGCCTCCAGATGGATGCCACATCATTCCACCATGGTGCACAACCACCTACAAGCTACATACTGCCAGCAGCTCCTTGCCAGGGGGCTGGAGGGATAAGCCTGCCCCACAGCACCCCCCTCCAGAGCAACCAGCACTCACTTTCCACTGTAGCACCTTCATTAGGGTTGGAGTAACCTTCTCCCTTCCTCTTGATCCTCCGGATTATCCCTCCATCCTCAAACAAGTCTTCACCTTTAAAGTCAAGCAGCTCGACCTAAAAAATAAAACAATAAAGAAAAGGTGGGCAAAGCTCAGGGTGAGGGGAAGGAGAAGAGAAAACACAACAGAGAAGCCACAGAGCAGCAGTTCAGCCCCTGGCTGGAGAACCAAGTCAACTAATTCTCCATTCAGCTGCCGAGCAGAAGTTGCCCATAAAAGCAAGCTCCCAGCCACAGCATAATACACCCGATTTATCAGAAACTGGGACACATCCAGTACCTGAAGCACAACACAAAGTAACAGTAAAAATAAGTTTATTAAGCCTGTAAGGGTACAACACAGTCACTGCTGCAAGACGCTGCAAAAGCTGCCCGGGACCAGTGTGGGCAGGAGTTTCCCCTTCATTCTCTGACAGAACCAGCTCCAACCCACGACTTTGTCCCCACTTGACTTGGAAGGACTCAGCCTTAAAAGTGGACTGACCCATTCCTCCCACCACCTGGTCCTGACAAGCCCTACCCCGTGCCAAAACCTTGGCTCTCCAACCGCCCCGCGGCATGAATGGGTTTTTAGTACCCAGAGGCGTTTCCCAGCCACTTTCTCCTTCCCATGTACACGTTTAAAGCAGGAATCTGCCCACTCTCCCCCCCGGCACCAGGGCTCTCCCCAGCCGGAGTTTCAGTCCCAGCCTCCCAGCTCAGACACACATTTCTGAGAAAACCCTGGCAGCGGTTCCTGGAGCAGAGGGACACGTTTCAGGAATCCAAGCTGGGGTTTTTTGTTGGTTTTGGGTGGGTTTTTCTTCCTTTCTGAGCTGGCTGGCAAGGCAGGAAGGGAGCAAGGATCTCATCCACGCGCCGGCTCACCAGCATTACTTGCCTCAAAGAAGAGGGTGGCGTTGGAAGGGATTTTGGGGGCGCTACCCGCAGAGCCGTACGCATACTCAGGTTTGCACAGCAAGTAGCAGATCTCTCCCTTCTTCATGGTAGCCACCCCGATGTCCCATGCCTTGATTACCTGACCTAGGAGAGAGGCAGATATCAGGCAGGGGGAACAACCAGCAGCCCAGGTCATACCCAGCCTGGGTGCTACAAGGATGGCACCCCAAGAAAAAGCACCCTCAGAAGTCACTTAATGCACAGCTGACACAGACCATCTATCGAGCAACAAGGTCCCACCACCCCCAGGGTCATCCCATCCTCCCCAGCTCACCCTTGCCCAGGCTGAAGACAAAGGGCTCATTCCGATCGCGGCTGGAGTCGAACTTTTTACCATTGGCAAGTTTGCCTTTGTAGTGGACATAAACCTTGTCCCCGATCATGGGGGACTCATCTTCACTCCCAGGTCGTTTAATGATCTGAGAGAGAGAAACCACCTGTGAGAAAGGGAGGCTGTGGGACAGCTCAGGATGCATATGGAGAGATACAAAGATATTCGATATAGACATAGATATTAGACACATAGATATTAGATAGAAACATATATAGATATCAATATTAGCTATAGATACCAATATTAGATATTACATAGATTTAGATATTAGATATAAGATACATAGGCACACATGCATTTTCATATATACATACACACATGCATTTTTATACATAAAACACATGCATGCACATATATAAATATATATACACATGTACACATACATATAAATATATGCATGCATATACATAAAAATCTATATACACACATGCATATACACCTCGGTGCTGCTCTAAACCAAAGGAAGGCTTGAGGGGGAGCCATTCAATTTGTCCTTCCATCAGACCCTAAAAATAAACCCCACGGGACAGGGCTGGGAGCTGAGACCTGCCCGTTCTCTGCGGCGCTGCCTGGATAAACACAGTGGTTCGAAACCCGACGCGAAGGCGACCGCACTCGCTTTCTGTCCGTACACATCTTACTCGCAGGGGTGTGTCATTTCACTACTCGCTTCTTGTCAACACTTCTTTTGAATGCTACAAGCCTGGAACATGCAGTTCTCGAGCTGAGGATGGAGCAGGGGAGGATGCTATTCTTAGAGGAAAGGTCCTATTCAAGTGGAGAAGAACAAGCGCCGGGGAGCAGAACTATCCAGAAACGGCCCCGAATATGAAAAAGGGGTTGTGGAGCAGACTGCATGACCTCAGTAATGTGCTCTTTCTAATGTCTGTTGAGTCACACACAAAAATGCCTTGTGGATTTACAGCTAATAATCTGATTAGGAACACAATAGCAGTGAAATTGATTGAGCAGCCTGAATCCATCAGTCTCAAATACCACTCCATCCTTCTTCATTACAAGTGATGCTCATCTCCTTTGCCCTTTGAAGAGAAGAACCAACCCTACAGCCCTTGAAGTACTACATGACCCCAAGGGCTGGAGATGCAGCCCACCAATGTGACTGTGCAGCCCAGAATGCAGAAAGAGAGGCAGGACCCTCCTGGCAGCCCCCCTCACCTTCAGGACCCCTCGGTCTCGAGCTGGTGTGATGTCCTCCCCACGCTCAGCGAGAGCAGCCGCCTGCACCTCCCCTTCGCTCCTGGTGGCCTCATCAGTGGTCATGGTCTCCTTGCATAAGCCCTGGACCTGGGAAGACACAACACGCACCCCGTCAGCCTGTCAGGACCATGGGAGGTGGTGTAAGAGGAAAGGGTTAAAGAAAACAGGCGGCTCGCTCTGCTGTGGGGCCAGGGCAGGAAGCTTTGAGCACATTTCAAGCATACAGAGCGGAAAATCCCTTCCCAGGGGCCACCCAGGCTCTGCTGACCCATAGGGCACAGGAAACCCCGATGTGCAGTGCCCAGGGACAGGGACAGCCCCTCAGCTTTGTCTGGTCACAGCAGTGGGGATGCTCACAGCAGTCCCCAGACTTCACCTTCAGCCTCGTGGCCACCACAGAATCATAGGATAGTTTGGGCTCAAAGGGACCTTCAAAGCTCATCTAGTCCAACCCCCCTGCAATGAGCAGGGACATCTTCAACTAGACCAGGCTGCCCATCAAGCTTCACTTATCCCCTTCTGGCTCACTTAGAGGTGAGCACCCCTTGGGTATAGGTGCTAGAAATACATGCACCAGGTTAGCGTTTGCCTTTTGAGGGTTTTTTATACAGTTCAAGATTATTTCCCACAAGGAATCACCTTTTTGTCAGAGACGCTATAATTCAGAAAGCAACACATCAACCCCAGGCAAACTTCGCTTTCTCTTGCCCACCAAAAACACCCCAAAAAGACAGAGCACGCTCCAAGTCTCAGGCGAGCAAAGCATCCCCCTGCATGGAAAGACCCGAACACACAGCAAGCATCTTCTCCAAAAACTAAACCCAAACACCAAAAGAATCTCAAATATTTGGGTGGATAAAGAGAAAATTCACAGCGAGACTCAAAGAAATAGTTTTTTTTGTCTGCTGGAGCTCCACACTCCCAATGTCACCACCAAGGTGCCAGAAAAGCCTTTTCGTCAAACACATTCTTTTTCCAACAATGCCTGGTGAAAAGAGAATTGCCTATGGTTTAAAAACCATATTTCCTGATGATTTCCTTCAGACCATAAGGCTATTTTGGTAGCTGCACTGCTGCGTGACACGTAATCAAGGAAACATGTGATGGAGAATGAAAAGCGATGAGTTTTTTAAGACATAAACCAGAACTATTAAAGTCACTCTAGTTGCGAAACTTTCCCACAGTCTTTAGCGTGGAAGCTGATGTTAACCAGCAGGAGAAATCACTCATTCGGAGGATTCAAAAAGAGCAAAGAAAGGATGTTGTCAGCTCCAAGGGCAGATAAGTCGTGCTGCAAGAAGAATTGAGCTCCTCACACCCGGGTGGAAAGGGAAGAGCTGGAACCCGCCACCCCGCCAGCACAGGAAGCCACCGAGACACAAAGAGTCCTGCAATGGAAGCAGCACATAGAAAAATAAGGGAACTACTTGTTGAAGTGCCCGATTATCACAGGCTTTGGAGTAATGTTGAATGAGATTTTGTGTCTGCTCCCTTTCCTAAGTAATAAACCTAAACAAAACCACTAAAAAAAGCACTTCGGTGGTGAGACTTATCATCTCCTGGTGATGATACATTGGAAAACACACCACGGGTTACTTTGGAAGCAATGTTGTATGAGGGAGGCCCTGGCACAGGGTGCCCAGAGAAGCTGTGGCTGCCCCATCCCTGGCAGTGTTCAAGGCCAGGTTGGACACAGGGGCTTGGAGCAACCTGCTCTAGTGGAAGGTGTCCCTGGTAACTGCAGTGGTGTTGGGTTAGATGCGCTTTAAAGGTCCCTTCCAAACCAAACCATTCTATGATTTGGGTGCTTAGATGGTCTCCAAGCCACCTACCACCACCATGGCCATCCATCTGGAAATGAGTGAGGAGTGGTGGTGACCATCACTGGCACCGTGGCTCAGGGCTTCCTGACACAGACCCTGTGCAGCACCAGGGACACAAACCACATCCATAACCCATTTATTATGGTATTAAGGACCAGGAGGAGCCCAAAAGGCAAGGAGCTTGTGCAAGAAATTCTACCTCCTAAGAAAGAGCCTCACAAGCTCCACCAAGCAGCCACCTCTGGGATGCAGAAGACGGATGAGGAGGTGCTGGCTCTGGCTTGCCGGTTGCTAAATCCCACCAAGAGACATCTAAAAATACACCATACGCATCCTTCTCATTATTTTTCTACGTAAGCAATTAGTGGAGTCATCCAGGGAAGCTGGCCAAGGCAGGCGGGAGGGGACACACTCTGCGTCAGAAGCGGTGGGAGGGATGGAGCCCACAAGACTGGCTATTAAGATGAGGTCCACATTATGAAAGAGCTCAAGACTTCTCCATCCAGTGAGAACGGCTCCAACTAGGTTAGAGAAAACACCACACTGCTCCCGCTTATCTCCGGTTTGGAGCGACAGAAGGAGACTGGCTGGAGTCCAAAATCCCAATTAATGTGAAACAAACAGTTGTGGAGGGAAGGGGAATATCTGCTACTCCCTGAATTTAACTCCTGGGGAGCCGGGGGCTGTTGGTGAGAGCCCTGCAAGCTTGCTGGAGGTATCAGAGCACACATCTTCCCGTTGCAGGAGCACATGTGCCCCAAATACAAGCAGGGGATTAATTCATTACCCCATGCAAAAGCCTCAGGGTATTTCTGACACGAGCAGCAGATCCTGCTCTCCCGTTGCTGTTAGCCACAAGCTTAATGTTGTAAGTCTGTCAATGAAGCCAGGTTAAACCCTCTGATCACCCACACTGCTTTGTGTCCCTGGGCTGTAAATATGGAGGAGAGAGGGTGGTGAGGAGTTAAACCCCCTCAGGCTGGGGCATCCTCTTCATCCCAGAGGTGCAGCAATTCTGCAATTCATCAGAGCATCAATTAAAGGACACCAAGAGGGAAGGGATTTCCATGCAGAGAGAATAAAAGCAATAGGGAAGAGAGTAAAAAAATCCAGAGCACAGCCCAGGAAAGCTGTTTTGGGGCAGTTGTGCACAACTTGATTCCTTCTATTCTGAAGCAAAGTCCCTTGCAGGAGCCTGTAAACCCCAAATACCCCTGCCTGAGCTCCAAGCCTGGTGCTGGGGTCTGGCCGTACCTCCAGTCACCACTCGGGACCCAAACCCACCAACCCTACCCTCCCCAGGCCCCACAGAAGGACAAATTTATTCCTCACTGCTGAAGGAAAGGGTTTGGAGGTTTCACTTGTTTGCTTTTAATCAGTCCCCACTCTACTGGATGATCTGAAAATTCAGTGTAATAATCTGTAATTTAAGAGCTATAATAAACAAGCTTTAAAATCCAGAGGTTTTGACATCTGGACACAGTCTTTTTCAAGTGCAACTATCTCAGCATTAATTAATATAAAATATATTAAAGAGCTTCTAGCTGAGCAAACAAGGAGGCTTCTGAGTTCAGAAGCCTCCTGTAAGTGCATGACATGTGCTTCACTTGGGACCAACGTATCCTGACCCACAGCACCAGCACATGCCTGTTCTCAGCCCCACTAAAGGAATATAAACTCATAGAATCATGGAATGGTTTGGGTTGGAAAGGACCTTAAAGCTCATCCAGTTCCAACCCCCTGCCACAAGCAGGGACACCTTCCACTAGAGCAGGTTGCTCCAAGCCCCTGTGTCCAACCTGGCCTTGAACACTGCCAGGGATGGGGCAGCCACAGCTTCTCTGGGCACCCTGTGCCAGCGCCTCAGCACCCTCATGGGGAAGAGCTTCTGCCTCAGAGCTCATCTCAATCTCCCCTCTGCCAGGTTAAAGCCATTCCCCTTGTCGTGTCCCTCCAGGGCCTTGTCCAAAGCCCCTCTCCAGGTTTCCTGGAGCCCCTTTAGGCACTGGAGCTGCTCTAAGGTGTCCCCTTCAGGAGCCTTCTCTTCTCCAGCTGCTCCAGCCCAGCTCTCTCAGCCTGGCTCCAGAGCAGAGCTGCTCCAGCCCTCGCAGCATCTTCTCATCAACTCTTTTAATCACTCAAAAGCAACAAGGCTGCATCCTTCCTTCTTGTAAATCTGCTGGTTTCCCAAACACCGTCCTACACACTGGCACCAGCAGTTGCAAATATTATTGTTCCCTCTTCCAAACTCAGAGCAGCATCACCACGACTGATGCACATGAGCAGTCGATGCCCATGTGCAATCAAGCTGCCTGCGATGGGCCAGGCTGCCCAGGCTGAGCATCCTCCTGCACAACCCGATACACAGGCAGCATTGTGGCTTTGTCCCTCATTTTAGCACTGCCACAGACATTAATTCAGCTGCTGCATCAACTAAATAAACATTTTTTGTCTATTTTTTTTAAAGCAGGTACAACAGAAGGCTTTTCTTGGTGTCCTTTTAAGCTGGGCAATGGCTGGTGCCTTCCCCACCTTCATTATCCTCCAGTGGTGGATGGCAGCCTTTTTCAGGCTGGCAGCAATGCCAGGGCACTGCATGGGCACTTGCAGAAATGCAACAGGCAGACTGATTCTATGGTTCTACCAGGTTGGAAAAGACCTTTAAGATCAAGTCCAACCTTTACCCCAGCACTGCCAAATCCATCAATAAACTGTATCACTAAGGGCCCCATCTACCCCAAAGCCCTTTCCTCTTTGCATGTGCCTTTCCAACGATGGAACCATGGCTCCAGGAGGATGCACACCATGTAACACCAGCACACACCACACAAAAATCCACACCATAAGCAGTTCCCTCTCCACATGAATGTTGCTATCTTCCAGCCTGGAGAAGTAGGAGAAAATTCCTATTTTCAGAGCAGAGAATGGGATGCAGATGTCCGACCCCAGGCTGAGGACAGACAGGTATCACACATGCTAGGGTTTCACCAAGCACACGATCCCGAGCCACGTTTCCTAGAAATCAGCATACCAGGAACTTGCCAGCTCCAAATGGAAACTTTATGTCACAGATCCCTCCTGGAGGCTCACGGGAGGGGAAAGGAACAGAGAAGCTGGGGTGGGTTTTGAGGGGTCTCACCTTGCCACCATGCAATCGCGGGAAAAGGTTTGGGAGTCCAGAAAGGGTCTGGAGGTGCCCACTCAGAGACAGGGCGAGGATTTCACACCAATACCTGGTAA